TGGTGAGGGGCAAGGGCGGGCGCGGCCTAGCAGGGCCCGGGCGGCCTTGGGCCTGGGAGCCGGGCGGGGCGGGGCCGGGCAGGAGAGCCGCTGGGGTCTCTTGGAGTCGAAACAAATGGGAAAGTGGCTTCCCTGCCAGCAACGGAGCAACTTGAAAGCTGGGGCACTTCACTTCATACCCGGGGAGGAGCACCCCTCCCTTCTCCCCTTCCTGTGGGTAGGGAGGCAGCCCCATGGCGCCTGTACTGTGGGGCTCCTCCAAGGGTGCTGGGTGCTTATGGCTCTGGGCATTTGATTAGCTGGGAAAAGAAATCTGACAGTTGAAGGCAGCTGGAAGGGGCAGTCCCCATGCACACAAACACTCCCCAGGCAGTTAAGTGCCTTGCTAAAGCAAGTAGGTGGAAGAGGGGCTGGACAGGGGCACTTCCAGCAGGTCAATATTTCCAAGTGGGTGCTGGCCAGCTAAAGCACTGTCTGTCCCTCCACTGTGCTTCCCCCTGTTAAGTTGGTTTTACAGCTTCAGGAGATTCTTACCCTTAAAAGTTCATTGGGGAAGCGCAAAGTGTGGATTAGGGTAAAAGCTTTCAAATCAAGCTTGCAGTGCATGTGTGCACTGGTTTGTGCAGAAGTTACATATGATAAATAGTATATATTGCATTACTTGATACTGAAGTAGGCAAAGAAAGAAGCTGGGTGTTTGCTAAATGTATCTGGGTCACAAAATGAAGAAGTTTGAGGAATGGCTACTTTGCTTTTAGAGGATATTAAAAATAATGTTCACATGTGACACCTCTGCCCATTTTGATATCATAAGACCTAAATCCGGCTCTCATAACTTATTACGAGTAACTGTTGCAACTAGAAAGCCAAAGACTGGGTGTCCTGCTGAAATTGGTTTTCAGCAGGAGCTCTAATCACATTTATAATCTTGAGTCGTACTAGATTGAAATTAAAAGTGTTCTGTATTTAAAATGCATGTTTTCGTGGGAAGTGGTAGTAACTACTATAAAAATGAAACCCAGTTTTAAAGCGCATTCTCATCTCTTGCAGACTCTTAAATATTCATCAAAGAGTCACCCCAGTGGTGGTGATCACCGTCATGACAAGATGCGAGACACCACAGATCCTTCACCACCAAACAAAATGTTGCGGCGATCTGATAGCCCTGAAAACAAATATGGTGACAACACAGGGCACAGTAAAGCAAAAAGTGTGCATGCTCACAGAGTTAGAGAGAGGGATGGTGGTGAGTTGCTTTTAATTGACTTATTTAAGCAGCATTAATCTGATGTAAACTAGGTAACAACAGCTACTACTGGGCAAACAGAACTTCATCTTGAATGACATGTCTAGATATGGTGGTCAACTGATTGATCCCCCAGCGATTAGTTTCACTGAACATAATTGTGAAGTATTTTGTGCCTCCAACAAGTAGTACCTTTCGAGAAGGCCACAGGAGAATAAATATATGCAATTTTAGGTTGGTGATTCAAATTAATTTCTGTGATTCAAATTAATTTCTAAAGTCACTTGTAATATTAGCAAGTGATAACATTCCATTTTAGGTTTCTTCATCATAGAGATTTGTACTTGTTGCTTCAAAGGTTGAAAACTATGATTGTTCTGTGGCTTGTTAAGTAACACTAGTCTGCCTGCTTATTATGATGATTAATTCAATTAATTGTTCAGTTAAGCACTTAACAGGCTGAACAAAATAGATAATTTAAAATGCAGAGAAGCTTCAGAACTTTTAGTTGCTGTAAGGAAGACTAGTGAGTAGGGGATAGTATACAAAGGTATTCCTGATTTGATTCCTGCTTTGGGGGGAACTCATAAAATTTTCTGGCTTTAATTCTCTAAATATTTTAATAGACTTCTATTCAATCTCTTGCCTTCCATTTTTTCTACCTCCAGTATCTTGCTTTACTTTTCTAATAAGCAAAATTGTAAACATTTTACTGTTTACTTTTGTGGGGGCTAGGGGGAGAGTTTACCTCAGACACCAGTTAAACCTAAGCCAGTTCTTGGGTTTTCAGTGCTGCTTTTCATTCTTTATTGAGTTACCCTGAAAAGTCTTCAGGAGGAGGAGCCAAAGAGATCTTTAAAACAACATGTCATCCCTGCTATAGGTAAAGTTGACAAACAAGTGATGTAAGGATACTCATTTTATTACTTTTGGTTGTGAATGCTTGTTACAATAGTTAGTTAACATTAAGGTGAAATGCCAGGTATCTTTTAAGTTATCTTGAAGGGAACTCCTGGTCTCCACTGCAAGCATACTTATAGTATATGAGTACATGTATGTTCCATATTTATTTTCTTTGGTTGAATCTACAAATGAAACTGTTTAAGGTATTGATATGCATGCATAAGAAACTGCTAATTTGTAAGAAAATTTTTGCAGGATAACTTATAGTTTCTAGGGTCAGAAGGGACCTGAGCAGATCATCCAGTCCGACCCCCTGCCACGGCAGGAAGAGCACTGGGGTCAACGACCCCAGTAAGGTGGTCATCCAACCTCCTCTTAAAAACCCTCAGGGTGGGAGCCTGCACCACCTCACTTGGAAGCTGGTTCCAGACCCTAGCTGCCCTGACCGTGAAGTAGCGCCTCCTGATGTCCAACTTAAACCTTCTCTCCGCCAGCTTCTGACCATTGTTCCTGGTTGCTCCTTGTGGCGCTTGGGGGAACAGGGACTCCCCTGGCGCCTGCTGACTTCCCCCCCCCCAACCAGTTTATAACAGGCCACATGATACCCCCCCCGCCTTCTCTTTTGAAGGCTGAACAGGTTCAGGTCCCGCAACCTTTCCTCATAGGACCTACCCTGCTGTCCCTTGATCATACGATCAACTTAAATATTGATCCTTTATTGTTTTTCTAAATGTGAGATTACATTTAGAAAATTCCAAATTCAGGTGTGTGCCATTCTGTAGGATGCTATTCAAGAAACTGGGTTTAATTCCTGGTTTTACTTATTTGCTCCCTTAGGTCCTGACCCTGCAAGCTCTTATACTTTGTTTAACTTCTCTACCACAAATAGTTTCTATTCCAGTGGGACTACCAACAGTTAAGTACCTGTGAAAATGCATGAGAGATGAAGGCCCATGGGGAAGCAACAGTATTTCTGACTGTTGACACTCTCATACTAAAGAAGGAAAGTGAAGTTCTTGCTTAGTCCACCTGTACTGAATGGTTAGTGATACAGGCCCTAAGCATACAAATGTGAAGCAGCTGAAGGAGGAGATAAAATGGAAATGCTGGAATCTGAAGGGGATAGAAGATTGCTACTCATTTTGTTCCTTATCCCCTAAGCCATTTATGGAGTGGAGGATTTAGTTCAGTATATTTTCAATATATAACATGGTGTGGCAAGTTATTCTAAGTGGTTAGGTCAGCAAACATGAGCATTCCAAAATATGGCAATTTTGTAAAATGACACAACAAAAATAAGCAAGGTGATTTATGTTTTTAGTTTGAGTTTTGATTTAGTTCAGAAAACTTTTCAGTCAATAAGCATGACTAAAATTGCTTAAACTTATTATATCATAAGCGTAGTAAACCATAGCGGAGCCGCTCTATGCAGTATAACATCAAAATAAACTTGTGCTTTGTGATCATGTACAGATTTTAGCTGCATACATTCTTACTTTTTGCCACCATTATAGATTATTGCATTCTCTTGTTCAGTAAATATGTCAATTAATACATATTGGTGTTAATGTCAAGACACATGAAATGCTGGTATTATCGGTATGGTTATGCTTGTGATACTTGGTAAACACAGCAGATTGAGTCTAGCGTGGGTCTGGTTGCCCTAATGTTTTATTTATATGAATATAAATATATATTCAGTGGGACTACTTACAGTAGTAAAGTTAACTACACGTGAAAATATATTAGGAGATAAGCACCTTGTGGGTGGGAAAGAACACATGTATAGTTCTACTGTGCCATTAATTCTGCTAGTACAAATGTAAAGTTACTTTTGTACTTTCCATATACTTCCTATTCCTGAGTTAAATTTTACCCAGAACACATTTGCTTAAATGCATAGTTCCTTTCAAATCAAAAAACATCTTTTGAAGAAGATTATTAAATAAGTGCTTTAAAAAACTCTGAAGGCTATTATATGAGATAATGGGAAAAAGAAATTATAGTACTAGTTCTTATGTGTTTATGTATTTTTCTTATTTTGGGCTTGATTGGAACTACTTTGGGGGATAATGACATGCAAATACATTTTTTGAATTTAAAAAAGAAATAATGGAAAATATCTCCATTGGTCTTTCTGTGGAAACGTGCAGTCTTAAAATTAATTTAAAGTATATACTGACCTGATCCTAAGTGATGTAGGTCCTGATGTTTGGGATTTACTCATTCATTTGGTCCAGTATTTTATGGTAAAGAAATATTCACCAAACTTCATTTAGAACTTGTTCACTCGCAGTCTGTTTGTGTTGCTGCAATACTTTTGGTATACAATCTCACTATAGTTAAAAAGCGTGTAATTTTCAACTGTGGATGTAGGTATACCAGTACAAAGGTGACTTTAATAACAATAAAGTAATAGCCTATCCTAATTCAATATTTGTCCTGCTATAGCTGCATTCACAGTAGAAGGTTGCAGCACTTTTTTAACTATAGTAGTTAATTGAAATAAGTATAATGATACAAATGGATGGTGTGGTTAAGCTATATGTATAAAGCAAGTATATGTTTATATTAGATTGAACGTTCAATTTCTTTGACCACCATGGAATAAACTTTTGACAGTTTTTCTCTTCTAATCTCTGAAATGTCTACACAAAATAGCGGGCTTCAGTCATACAGCATAAAAAGATTTAGGTCATTCCTGTTGGTAGTGGAAGTCATATGGGTGAATGTACAAACAGTAGTTAAAAGTTTGGATGTTTGGGGTGTTGCAAAATAAAAACAAGGATTCAGAGTTAAAAGAGAGAAATTACCAGATTTTATTCATAGCTCCATACACAAAAATAATGTCCCCCTCTGAGCCTTGAAGCACTGTTTGTTACCTAAGTCTTTCAAAACCTACCATGCTGTCTTTAAATGTAACTATTATTTGTTGACTAGTATTATGCAGTGAGATGTAGAATATTTATAAAGAGAAGTTAAAGGGATTACAGATCACTGCAAGAAAACTTTGTGAAATAGGGGGTGAACAGTGAGTAGCTGCAGCTAGCATTGTTGCTAGTGAAGAGAAAAACATGAGAGGCCTGGTAGGTGAGGAAAAGAAACAATTTTGACTTTGAGGGAATCACTGGAGGAATTCAAAGTAAGGATGTCTAGGAGTGGTTGAGCTGAGAGGCAAAGATGAAGATCCTGGTACTGGTTTTTCTTTTCCACCAGGACTGGAGAAGGTGGTATAGGTATTAAGAAGCCAAACAGGAGGAAGTAATGAAGCTAAATGAGAATTTTAGCTGTGGAGATGGAAAGAAAATATTTGTTTTTAAATAATGGGGAAAGGTGTTGCAAGATTTTAATGCAACCTGTAGGTGAAGAAAGAAATTGTAAGAAATCGCTTCCTTGTTGTTCTGAGTGGCAGAGGTTGGTGGTATTTTCAACAGTAATAAGAAATACAGGGGAAGCAGAATTCTGGATGGTGGAGAGGAGTTGAGTTTAGGCCGTATACTCAAAGCCTAGTTTAAAACACATTAATTGATACAGAATAATTTCAAGCATTTTTGTATGCCAGGTTTTAGGAAGATCTGTGAAAAATCAGTTTTCTGTCATGACCTAAAAAGGTGCATAAAGGGAATAAAAAGAACTATTAGTGTATATAGTGTGAACCTTTTCACTAAACCATGTGCTGTGCATACAGTTCATCCTCAGCCAATTTAACTGAACTGGAATGAAAATAGTGTAGTGACTTTTGAAGCTAATAATTTGAAGGCAAAGGACACTGCTGATCAAAAGTGCAAAATGATATTTCATTTGAAAAAAAAAAAATCAAATCTATCCCAACTAAAACCCTATTAAATTGAGTCCATTGTACGTATGGAAGAATTCTAAGGCCCAACATCTCATGACTCATCAGTGATGGACCGGAATATTTTTTGCCAGGAGTTTCTAGTGGGTATTATGGAGCTGTAGTAAACCATTGTTATCACACAGTGCTGGTTTTCCTTGTTTCTATCCATCCCAACAGGAGTCCAGCATCTTCACTGGAAGAGAGGCCCTGGTTGTCTGTTGAAACAGCATGAAATAAAAAGGTATTATACTTGTCTCTTCATGGGACAAGGAGAGGAAACGGACCTTTGGTGAAGTTGGAGTTGGAGTGGTTATCTGCTAGCACAGAAAAAGGGACAGAGGATTTGAGTAAGTGGTAGACAGTAATAGGTGGCTTTGTGAAGTGCAGGGGAGATGAAGCCAAGGTGCAGGTGGAAGAATAGAAACCTGACAGTAACCAATCAAATAGAGGGCTGAGAACACAGGCTGTATACATGCATCCCAGTAATTTGGGAAAACTCCCTAGCTTGTTCTCCTGGTGGAAAAACTTACCGAGAGACCAGATGTACAGACATTTGCTCTCTTGGGAATGTTTGGAACCTGTTTTATTCCCAGATTATTTTTCTCCTGGAGCGGTCATTTTACTCTGGGAGAAAAATCCCAAATATCTGTACATGTGTGGCTGCTTCTGGGAGATCAGCTACTCTGAGGAGAAATTGAATGCATTTAGAAAGCCACAGAAAACCGTAGACAGTGGTCAGTATGTTTAAAATATTAAGGGCAATTAATACTGAAATCCACCCCCACCCCTTTCCCACCACCACCAGAAGAAGTTTCCTCATGATATTCAGAAATTAGGGATGGAGAACAAAGAGTATAATCACAAATTAGAGTATTGGTGGTCTGTTTAGTCTTTGAAAGTTGTTGTTTTTCTCAGCATCCAAATGGTAAAAAGCAGTAATTTCTAACTCCAGCAGCTCTAAAGATACCTGTTTCCCCAAATATTTTGGAAGATAGTTTCACAGAGTTTTTTCAGTGAATACAATTGTATACAGGGTGTGAATTTACAGAGTCATTTATTCTGGACCAGTAAATGGAGAAACTTGTTTCTTTGCTTTTCAGATGTTGAAGGGAAACATTCATTTCCTTATCAGATTTATTTTC